TTTCTTGTAAATTATAACTGCGATGACACTTCTGAATTTTTTATTTCTTTAATTATTTCATTTACAACGTTTTTATCTTTAAACTGTATAAAAACACTTACAACAGCAATAAATGAATGTAGGGGTTATAACAGAAGAATGGTGTGGATGTCGCTCTGCTGTGCTAGCTTCCAATCGTGACCTTAAAAAATATACCGGTAAGCTACTCTGTTTAAGAATATAATTCCAAACTGTCATAAAACATGACCGTGATAATAATAACACAATGTTAGGTCTAGAGGGTTTGAGAAACTTCGCTTTCGACGTAGAAGTGTTGATCTGGGTACAAGCTAACAAAAGCCAAACGATTTAAACTTTCAATCTTGAACATAAAGGGTGGCCTATTTTAGACTTCGTTTAAATAACCGACGGTTTAAGAAATCATTGGACCTCCAGATCTCTTTCCTGGGGGTCAATTTAAGGAAATAAGTGCCTTTCTAGTCTGCGCTGTTTGCTTTATTGAAATTTTTCACGATAAATGGTGTTTAGATAAAAGCGTTGGGCAAACTGAAAATGGCTTAGAACGCAGTTTTGCACTGTTTTGACTCTTTCTCTCCAAACTGTATAATTTGTATATCATCTTCCTACCAAGAGAGGAATTATTTTTAAGTCCAACTAATAATAGAGTGTATTAGCCCCTCTTGGGGCCAAATCGGTATCTCCTTATTTGGACCGTAGAGGGGCCAAATTGAGAGGAAGGGCCTAAATGGCATTTAGCGTGGCCAATCCAGAAATAAGGTGGGCCGAATCGGTACCATCTCAAACTGATTTGGCTCTTCTTATCCAAAACGGCCCAACATGACCAAAATTGGCCCTCAAGACATTGGGGCCGATTTGGCTCTTTCCATTTTACAGTGTGTTAATCACGGGCTAAACTCTGTTTACATAACTGACCCAAAAAGTTTCAATCGCTTGGCTTTTGGGCTAGTTTCCTTTCATACAATAAAGGTGCTCCAGATAGTTTGAATTTCCAAACAAACAGAAGGAAAAAAAAAAACGATCCGTTCCACTTGTCACCGCAAGACTAACTGTGTAAACGAAGAGCATTTCACCTAAAACTAGTTCGTCAAATTATAAATACTGAACTGGAAGTAGAATAATAAATACCAATCTGAAATAGCCATTACCGTTTCCAAATGGAACCTAAAATCCAAATTGCAGAATGTGTATTCTGAGACTGCCTCTGTGAGCGAAATGGTATTGATCTCAAACTAGTTCGCCGAACGCAAACTGGTTTGGGATTAAATTCAAATATTCCAGTCGGTTTTAAGAAAGTGTGCATTGTTGTTTCCAAATGGAATGTTACATCGAAATTTCGATCGCAAAATTACAATAGTTCAGTTTCGAATTAAAGATCAAAAATTACATTTAGGACACATTCATACAAGGTTAACCTCGATATAAAGTAAAATATTCAAAAATTCCGGCAAGTAAGTGTTTGAAAATTAATTTGAATATAAACAATAGACAGACTCACTTTGACTCTGAAAATGACTACCGTACAGGTTGTCGAAACGTCAGTCACTGTCAACAACAACAGTCCTATTCTAGCCCGTGAAAACATCCGTTTCTCCTCGCTCTTCGCCGCTGGGGACGTTTCGCGCGGAGGAACGTCTGCGACAGAAATTCCATACTGATGACACAAATCAATGTCTACATAATAAATCTGGTAGTTATGGGGTTCCAAATATAAATTTGTCTAATTTTGCGTGTCTTCTGGTCGATTTTGGTAAAGTGTTGTGTTGATCTGCCCACGAGCTCCAGCAAAATTCAAATGCTTCTTCTACAGAAGTCTATATTCCACAAAAATTGACTGTTTTGTTAGAGATTCTTCGCGTTTACATTTGACCTTTGTGGCCTTTTGTTTTTTGTCTGTCATTCATAAACAATTGCTAAAACAATGTAACTGCTGCGTCGACCAATCAACGCTTCTGACCGGATTCCGGACAGATTTTACGTCATCAGTATGGAATTTCTGTTGCTGAGTCGCAGACGTTCCTCCTTGCGAAACGTCCACAGCGGCGAAGAGCGAGGAGAAACGGATGTTTTCGCAGCCTAGTCCTATTCAGGACTACGTTCACCCGGACGATCAAACTCAACCCACTTTTTTCAAACCTTTCACAATAGACAGAGTGATAAACAGGTCTTTTTCTCGTTGGAATTTGTAAATTTATTACTTCAGATGGAGGCTAAGCCTGTAAAAAATGCGTCTTCACTTCTTTAATTCAGCGGTCATAGCGAACTCGAAACTGGACTATTCTGATTGCTTCAGAAAAGATTCTACCCACGCGATCGTGCTTATTTAGATTTGCGCTAGTTCATCCATGTCGGTTATCCCTACTGTGTCATCATTTATATCAACAGGTATAGGAACAGTTGATTGGCCGGCTGGTGAGTCCACATATCGATAAAATAAAGACATCGCCATAAACACCAGCATCACGACAAACAGCATGGCAGCAAAAAAGAAAAATTCCGTCGTCTGATTACTGAAGATATGAGACTCAGCTACAATAACGACTATTAGATTGCCGAATGCAACGGTCATAAGCCACGCAGCTTGAAGACAGGACTTCATACTTACAGGAGCTTGGGAATAGGCAAACTCTAAACCTGAAGATTGAAGTAAGATCGAGAAATTTAGTAGGGTCAGGTCTTTGCCCACTCACAAGTTTTAGATACAGATTGAAATTCAGCAAAAAAAATAAATTAGCTCACCCTTGTAATTTAAACGATTAACCTCGCATCCAGACCTCTTGTAGACGAAGCCGAAGACGAGATCTCGCCTTCGGTTTCGTAAACAAGAGTTCTGGGATCGAGATTATTAAAAGATCGAACGTCAAG